ATTTTGTTAATAACTTGCAGTTTCAAAGTTTGTAAATAACTCATTTTCCAGTAGGTTCTGTTGAAATTCTCCATGTCAACATTTGACTTCCTACTGTCATCACCTAATTAATAACCTCTGTGATTGATACTTCTTACCAACCCTGTCATTTGCAGCAGTTGTTAATCGTGTTTGTTCAATGGTGACTGTCGTCCAAGGCTAGTGTGGTCGCAGATATATGAAACAAAGTGTGGTCGCAGATATATGAAACAATCTGTTCCTTTGTGCTTACTTGTACAAAGAAAATATCTCTGTGATTTGAGATGTTGATATTATATTCGAGAGAAAATGCTGCTTATGTAGCTTAATGCCAAATGAAGACGCTGAAAGTATTGAGTTTAACTTGTTATCTTAATTCGAATCACTGTGGCACTGTTGTCCTTCAATTAATATATATTTGTAGATTTAGTTGTTGGAAATATGCATAATGTTTAGCTACAGCTAATGGCTTTGATGCTTGCAACCTGCAGGCCCTTCCTATATATCTGGATAAGCTTTTCAATCAGTATCTTGCTATAATACTCTCTGTGACTTTTGTTCTGGCTTTTGGAGAGGTATACCCTCTTGAATTTCATTCTTTAGCAGTTGAGTTTCAACCTTTATTTCTTTGACTTAAAAGGAGTTTGGTTTTCATGATTCCTTTTACTTGTCAGGTTATTCCGCAAGCAATATGTACAAGATATGGTCTTGCTGTAGGTGCAAATTTTGTATGGCTTGTGCGAATTTTAATGGTTATTTGTTATCCAATAGCTTATCCCATTGGAAAGGTAAATTCTATGACTGATTCTTGGATTTCTTTTGGCATCATAGCTCTGATAATATATTTTTGTTGTTCACTCATGGTGATCTCTAAGAAAAATTCTTTTTCTACTTGAATTGATTTTTCCTGTTGTTGCTAATGAGATATTTACCCCAGATTTTGGACTGGGTACTGGGACATAATGAAGCTCTATTTAGGCGAGCTCAGTTAAAGGCTCTCGTCTCAATCCACAGCCAGGAGGTAAAGTAAAGCAATTCAGATGAAAATAACACAACAATTTTAAATATCAACTTTTTAGTTGGGCAAAGTGTTCAGTTCTTAATGTATAGTAATGTTATGGAATTTGCTTTTGGCTATTTCATCGTTATAAAATATTTTTTTCATGGCAATTAGGCTGGTAAGGGAGGTGAACTGACACATGATGAGACAACAATTATCAGTGGTGCACTAGATTTGACTGAAAAGGTATGCTCTGTGATGAAACTAGAATGTTGGGGCAGTTTATTTATTGTTTCCAGTCACTGTAAAACCTCCCATACTACAGCCTTATGTTTTGCTAAAATGAATATTCAGGAATGCAGCTGAAATTGTTCAATTTACTTATATTTTATCTTTGTATGGCTGCTTGTAAATGGATTGTGGTGAAGAATCTCAACTATTCAAACCAAAAATCTGTTGTTAGTTTGGGGTGGCAAGGGTTTCAATGTTTGACAGTACTTTCCTTGTTGTATATGAGTTCAGAAGGTCCTTTCTTCTTTCTTATCATCATGCTTGCTTGCGAAACATGAGTTGGAGTCAATTGATATTATTTGCAGTCATCATTTCAACTCACTCTTTTTGCTACACTTTTTTTGTGTGGAATAGACTGCTGAGGAGGCTATGACACCCATTGAATCAACTTTTTCCTTGGATGTCAATTCAAAGTTGGACTGGTAAGTCTTGATCCTGAAAAATGTTGACATGCTTATTACTCTTCATTTTCCTATTTTTCTAGAAAGAATGAAGTCCACATAAATTTTGGCATGTTAATTACTAAAGATAGATTCCTCCTTATGTAGTTATCTTCTATTACAATAACTTTTATGATATCGTTACTACTTAAGGAAATGATTGTTCCGTCACTTCTGATATGCAACATGCATCTAGAGTTATGTTTTTTTATTATCTTATNAGTGGTGCACTAGATTTGACTGAAAAGGTATGCTCTGTGATGAAACTAGAATGTTGGGGCAGTTTATTTATTGTTTTCAGTCACTGTAAAACCTCCCATACTACAGCCTTATGTTTTGCTAAAATGAATATTCAGGAATGCAGCTGAAATTGTTCAATTTACTTATATTTTATCTTTGTATGGCTGCTTGTAAATGGATTGTGGTGAAGAATCTCAACTATTCAAACCAAAAATCTGTTGTTAGTTTGGGGTGGCAAGGGTTTCAATGTTTGACAGTACTTTCCTTGTTGTATATGAGTTCAGAAGGTCCTTTCTTCTTTCTTATCATCATGCTTGCTTGCGAAACATGAGTTGGAGTCAATTGATATTATTTGCAGTCATCATTTCAACTCACTCTTTTTGCTACACTTTTTTTGTGTGGAATAGACTGCTGAGGAGGCTATGACACCCATTGAATCAACTTTTTCCTTGGATGTCAATTCAAAGTTGGACTGGTAAGTCTTGATCCTGAAAAATGTTGACATGCTTATTACTCTTCATTTTCCTATTTTTCTAGAAAGAATGAAGTCCACATAAATTTTGGCATGTTAATTACTAAAGATAGATTCCTCCTTATGTAGTTATCTTCTATTACAATAACTTTTATGATATCATTACTACTTAAGGAAATGATTGTTCCGTCACTTCTGATATGCAACATGCATCTAGAGTTATGTTTTTTTATTATCTTATCTTATCTTATCTTTTCTTTATATTATTTTATTTATAAAAGACAAGCTATTATTTTTGTTTGTCATGGAAGTTTGAAATTTCAATCATCAAATTATGCGAGTTTCATTTTGATTGCATTAGTCATGGAACAAATTCTATGCAATTTATCAAGTACTTACACTTCTATTTCTTTTTCCAAATTAATAAATCAGGGAAGCAATGGGTAAAATTCTTGCTCGGGGTCATAGCCGGGTACCTGTCTACTCTGGGAATCCAAAAAATGTTATTGGACTTCTGCTGGTGGGTGTTAGAACCTGCAGCATTTGACAAACTTTTTTCTACATGCATTCCTGGTTTGAAATGTTTCCTGCTTTTGTTAATTTAATTTCTTCCCTTTCTCTTCTACTGGTTGCAATTAGGTGAAAAGTCTTCTCACTGTGAGACCTGAAACAGAGACTCCAGTTAGTGCTGTTTCCATCCGAAGAATTCCCAGGTGTGATTATTGGTCTTTAAATTTGCTATAATTTCTCTCAGTATGGATAAACAAATAGTGGATTCATCTTTGTGTGAGATTTGTTCCAGGGTACCATCAGATATGCCTCTTTATGATATATTGAACGAATTTCAAAAGGGTAGCAGTCATATGGCGGCAGTCGTGAAGGCTAAAGGAAAAAGCAAGACTCTTCCACCAAGGATCGATGGAGAAATTAAAGCCAATGGTGGGGATTCTGAACTGACGGCTCCTTTGCTATCCAAGCAGGATGAAAAGACAGAAAGTGTTGTTGTTGATATTGACAGGCCTTCGAAGCCTAACAATTTGAGTCGACAGACCTCTTCACAACGTAGTGATGCGGCAACAAAGGGATTAGCATATGCATATGAGGATATTGAAGACGGTGAAGTGATTGGAATCATCACCCTGGAAGATGTATTTGAAGAACTTTTGCAGGCAAATCAGGGCTCCTTGATATTTCACTTCCTTTTAGTTGGTGTTTCTTCATTTTCCGCCAGACAATATTTTGATGATTTTCATGTCAAATGCAGGAGGAGATTGTGGATGAGACAGATGAATATGTTGATGTACATAAAAGGTAGTCCAGAGTACTTTGCAGGACTTAGTTGAAGTAATGTATGCTCATTGTAAAAACAGAAACATTAAACTGGATGCTATTTAATTTGCTTTTTCAGAATCCGTGTGGCTGCAGCTGCTGCTGCTTCATCTGTAGCACGAGCTCCATCAAGTCGCAGGTTAATTGGCCAAAAAGCAGCTGTGAGTAGAATTTATTTTTCCTATTATTTGTCTACTTTACCTTGTTCATATATGACCTAAAAAGTATACCAACTTTGACACTTATGCAGTAAATGAAAACCATGAAATAAGGAGAATTTCTTCTGAAAATAGATTTCAGTGCTTGATATTTTGGAATGGTCAAATTTTTTGGTCCAAGTCAATATGATAACATTAGGGCCGCATTTGATTGAACATGAAAGTCATTTTACTGGTTTAAGAACAAATAAGGTCATAATGACTCATTTTGCACGAGTGCAAGATTATATCTGGATGTTATGGACACAACTCAATTTATAGCAGCTGCTGTTTCAGAACATAATAGTTTGAAAGGAAGTTGCGTCATTGGTGTAACTTAAGGGGTTTAGCAGTCTCAATATAGTATTTATGATATCTATGACCATTTTCCTTCTAGTGGCTGAAGCTCAAGTATTTCCTTAAATGTTTTTAGGGAGGCCAAAGTAAGCAAGCGCCAACGACTCCAAAGAAGTCTGCTGAGAATGATTCAATTTCAACGAAAGGGGCTCCCTCATCTTGAGAGCAAGTGTCGTGCTATGTGGTCCGAATGGGAGAGGAATTTTGTAAACATACATAGAAAATGAACAATAATGCGACGTAATGTATTTGAAATTTTGAAGTTCATTTAAGTAGATTCTTTATTGCTTCTCAACTAAACTCAAGAATCCATTATGGATAAACTTGCAGTTTCAAAGTTTGTAAATAACTCATTTTCCAGTAGGTTCTGTTGAAATTCTCCATGTCAACATTTGACTAACTACTGTCATCACCTAATTAATAACCTCTGTGATTGATACTTCTTACCAACCCTGTCATTTGCAGCAGTTATTAATCGTGTTTGTTCAATGGTGACTGTCGTCCAAGGCTAGTGTGGTTGCAGATATATGAAACAAAGTGTGGTCGCAGATATATGAAACAATCTGCTCCTTTGTGCTTACTTGTACAAAGAAAATATCTCTGTGATTTGAGATGTTGATATTATATTCAAGAGAAAATGCTGCCTATGTAGCTTAATGCCAAATGAAGACGCTGAAAGTATTGAGTTTAACTTGTTATCTTAATTCGAATCACTGTGGCACTGTTGTCCTTCAATTAATATATATTTGTAGATGTAGTTGTTGGAAATATGCATAATGTTTAGCTACAGCTAATGGCTTTGATGCTTGCAACCTGCAGGCCCTTCCTATATATCTGGATAAGCTTTTCAATCAGTATCTTGCTATAATACTCTCTGTGACTTTTGTTCTGGCTTTTGGAGAGGTATACCCTCTTGAATTTCATTCTTTAGCAGTTGAGTTTCAACCTTTATTTCTTTGACTTAAAAGGAGTTTGGTTTTCATGATTCCTTTTACTTGTCAGGTTATTCCGCAAGCAATATGTACAAGATATGGTCTTGCTGTAGGTGCAAATTTTGTATGGCTTGTGCGAATTTTAATGGTTATTTGTTATCCAATAGCTTATCCCATTGGAAAGGTAAATTCTATGACTGATTCTTGGATTTCTTTTGGCATCATAGCTCTGATAATATATTTTTGTTGTTCACTCATGGTGATCTCTAAGAAAAATTCTTTTTCTACTTGAATTGATTTTTCCTGTTGTTGCTAATGAGATATTTACCCCAGATTTTGGACTGGGTACTGGGACATAATGAAGCTCTATTTAGGCGAGCTCAGTTAAAGGCTCTCGTCTCAATCCACAGCCAGGAGGTAAAGTAAAGCAATTCAGATGAAAATAACACAACAATTTTAAATATCAACTTTTTAGTTGGGCAAAGTGTTCAGTTCTTAATGTATAGTAATGTTATGGAATTTGCTTTTGGCTATTTCATCGTTATAAAATATTTTTTTCATGGCAATTAGGCTGGTAAGGGAGGTGAACTGACTCATGATGAGACAACAATTATCAGCGGTGCACTAGATTTGACTGAAAAGGTATGCTCTGTGATGAAACTAGAATGTTGGGGCAGTTTATTTATTGTTTTCAGTCACTGTAAAACCTCCCATACTACAGCCTTATGTTTTGCTAAAATGAATATTCAGGAATGCAGCTGAAATTGTTCAATTTACTTATATTTTATCTTTGTATGGCTGTTTGCAAATGGATTGTGGTTAGGAATCTCAACTATTCAAACCAAAAATCTGTTGTTAGTTTGGGGTGGCAAGGGTTTCAATGTTTGACAGTACTTTCCTTGTTGTGTATGAGTTCAGAAGGTCCTGTCTTCTTTCTTATCATCATGCTTGCTTGCGAAACATGAGTTGGAGTCAATTGATATTATTTGCAGTCATCATTTCAACTCACTCTTTTTGCTGCACTTTTTTTGTGTGGAATAGACTGCTGAGGAGGCTATGACACCTATTGAATCAACTTTTTCCTTGGATGTCAATTCAAAGTTGGACTGGTAAGTCTTGATCCTGAAAAATGTTGACATGCTTATTACTCTTCATTTTCCTATTTTTCTAGAAAGAATGAAGTGCACATAAATTTTGGCATGTTAATTACTAAAGATAGATTCCTCCTTATGTAGTTATCTTCTATTACAATAACTTTTATGATATCGTTACTACTTAAGGAAATGATTGTTCCATCACTTCTGATATGCAACATGCATCTAGAGTTATGTTTTTTTATTATCTTATTTTATCTTTTCTTTTCTTTATATTATTTTATTTATAAAAGACAAGCTATTATTTTTGTTTGTCATGGAAGTTTGAAATTTCAATCATCAAATTATGTGAGTTTCATTTTGATTGCATTAGTCATGGAACAAATTCTATGCAATTTATCATGTACTTACACTTCTATTTCTTTTTCCAAATTAATAAATCAGGGAAGCAATGGGTAAAATTCTTGCTCGGGGTCATAGCCGGGTACCTGTCTACTCTGGGAATCCAAAAAATGTTATTGGACTTCTGCTGGTGGGTGTTAGAACCTGCAGCATTTGCCAAACTTTTTTCTACATGCATTCCTGGTTTGAAATGTTTCCTGCTTTTGTTAATTTAATTTCTTCCCTTTCTCTTCTACTGGTTGCAATTAGGTGAAAAGTCTTCTCACTGTGAGACCTGAAACAGAGACTCCAGTTAGTGCTGTTTCCATCCGAAGAATTCCCAGGTGTGATTATTGGTCTTTAAATTTGCTATAATTTCTCTCAGTATGGATAAACAAATAGTGGATTCATCTTTGTGTGAGATTTGTTCCAGGGTACCATCAGATATGCCTCTTTATGATATATTGAACGAATTTCAAAAGGGTAGCAGTCATATGGCGGCAGTCGTGAAGGCTAAAGGAAAAAGCAAGACTCTTCCACCAAGGATCGATGGAGAAATTAAAGCCAATGGTGGGGATTCTGAACTGACGGCTCCTTTGCTATCCAAGCAGGATGAAAAGACAGAAAGTGTTGTTGTTGATATTGACAGGCCTTCGAAGCCTAACAATTTGAGTCGACAGACCTCTTCACAACGTAGTGATGCGGCAACAAAGGGATTAGCATATGCATATGAGGATATTGAAGACGGTGAAGTGATTGGAATCATCACCCTGGAAGATGTATTTGAAGAACTTTTGCAGGCAAATCAGGGCTCCTTGATATTTCACTTCCTTTTAGTTGGTGTTTCTTCATTTTCCGCCAGACAATATTTTGATGATTTTCATGTCAAATGCAGGAGGAGATTGTGGATGAGACAGATGAATATGTTGATGTACATAAAAGGTAGTCCAGAGTACTTTGCAGGACTTAGTTGAAGTAATGTATGCTCATTGTAAAAACAGAAACATTAAACTGGATGCTATTTAATTTGCTTTTTCAGAATCCGTGTGGCTGCAGCTGCTGCTGCTTCATCTGTAGCACGAGCTCCATCAAGTCGCAGGTTAATTGGCCAAAAAGCAGCTGTGAGTAGAATTTATTTTTCCTATTATTTGTCTACTTTACCTTGTTCATATATGACCTAAAAAGTATACCAACTTTGACACTTATGCAGTAAATGAAAACCATGAAATAAGGAGAATTTCTTCTGAAAATAGATTTCAGTGCTTGATATTTTGGAATGGTCAAATTTTTTGGTCCAAGTCAATATGATAACATTAGGGCCGCATTTGATTGAACATGAAAGTCATTTTACTGGTTTAAGAACAAATAAGGTCATAATGACTCATTTTGCACGAGTGCAAGATTATATCTGGATGTTATGGACACAACTCAATTTATAGCAGCTGCTGTTTCAGAACATAATAGTTTGAAAGGAAGTTGCGTCATTGGTGTAACTTAAGGGGTTTAGCAGTCTCAATATAGTATTTATGATATCTATGACCATTTTCCTTCTAGTGGCTGAAGCTCAAGTATTTCCTTTAATGTTTTTAGGGAGGCCAAAGTAAGCAAGCGCCAACGACTCCAAAGAAGTCTGCTGAGAATGATTCAATTTCAACGAAAGGGGCTCCCTCATCTTGAGAGCAAGTGTCGTGCTATGTTGTCCGAATGGGAGAGGAATTTTGTAAACATACATAGAAAATGAACAATAAAGCGACGTAATGTATTTGATATTTTGAAGTTCATTTTAGTAGATTCTTTATTGCTTCTCAACTAAACTCAAGAATCCATTATGGATATGGGGCAAATAGTAGTTCTGATTTAATTTGCAAAGTAATTTGTGGGAATATCCATATAAGAGAAAGCTATCCAGTCCGAACGTCGAATAGAAAGTTGTTGGATGCACCAGGCCAAAACAGACGACCAAGAGTCAATCAATTATTATTATTATTTTGAAAATTTTGTTGTAAAAAGATAAAATTAAGACAGGATTGTTAAGAGTCTAACTTAAGACCCTGTGACACAGAGAGAGAGAGAGACGTAGTCGTAGACCATTAGAGAAGGTCGTCTCAATTGTCATGGGTTCTAAACTCTGAATAATAAATAAAATCAGAAATACCATTAGGCGTCTAAACTTATTAAAAAGAGAGAGAAAAATAAAAGGAATGGGTCGATTAAAACCCGACATGAACCCAATTGGACCTAATTTTGCCAGATCCAGTTGGGACCTTAAGCTTAAGATAAGACGAATAGAGGTATAATTTAAATGGGCCGGGATACCGCGTATACTTTCTTGGCGATGCCGGGCTGTGTACGTACGCGGTTGTTCCTAAACCTCAAGGCTTTATTTCTTGCACAAGTTTTGTGTCAGGAAATAAACCTTTTTCATATGGACAAAAACTGGATGCTTTTATCCATTAATTTGAACTAGTTTTGCTCAAGAGAGAGAGAGGAAGATTTAATATCTACATTTTGCTCACAAAAGACTATAATTAAAAACGTTCTTAATTTACAAAAAAATTTACAGTACTCTCTAAATACATGGGCGATGGTAGATTGAGCTAGCATATTGAATTTACACAACTCTGTACGTTCCAACCTCATGGCTCTTCCCAAAGAAGAAGAATGACTGTGCACTTCCATATAATGTAACAACGAGTTCGCTGTTCCCGGAAAACCCTTGAACATCGTTGCCATGACCCAAGCTTTGGGTTCCCTCCTTTTGAAGTCGACTCATCATCTCTTTCTCTTCCCATGTAGAAGAAGCCAATTTTTATACGTAACTTGTAATGCTATAGGAAATTAAGCTTATGGAAAAACATGGATGGAGCTTAATTTATATGGAGAAATAAGGTTTGGGGCGGGGAGATATGGGACAATATGTAGTGGGTGATAATTGTTGTAAAGGTCCCAATGACCCGAAAATGACAAGGCACAGTCAGCAGCTTTGTCTCCCTGCCAAATCACCTGGAAAATGACTTTCTCTATAACTAATCCTAATTCCAATATCATCCCTTTCTCTATAGATGGCTGTAATTTGTCCTACACTCCGTAATACATATACCCTCTACCAACACCTGACTTTCTGCATGTGTTTCCATATATGCTTCCAATCTATTTATTTAATAACTAAAACTATATTTAACAGGTTTCACACTACAGCAGAAAGAGGGTTTACCTGTATAGTTGTTTAAAATTTTAAATATAATAATTGAGTTTTGCATAACATGTTGTGTACGTTGCAGCAAATTTTAGCGTGTTTCCATTTACAAAACGGCGTCTAATCTATCTTAAATCTAATCAACTTGGTCGACTCTTTCTTTACTTCAAAGCATTGTTATGACATAAATTTCGCCAAATTATATACTAAATTAGCCACAGAAGATGGTCACTTCAAAGTACAGTATTAATGCGTAAGCCTAGACCTTCACTTTCACAAGAGCCAATAAAGCTGCTAGCAAGCAGCGCCCTCGACGCACTACATTGATTAATATTCCATTCCATTGCAAACGATCACACATGAGCCACCTGGCTCCAAGTAAAATCTCAAAGAAACATAAATTGATTCATTATTAATTCTAATACTGATTTGTTAAGAGAGGCTTAAATCAGATATCATCATCCAGGGAAATGAAAGTATACAAGTTACATTCTCTTGGCTATATTATAACCTTGAACATCCAAGAATTGTACTGTTCAAAGCTCGAGTAGTACTGACATAATTGGCGAAACCATTTAAGAAGAAACTTAAGTTAACAAGTTCTAAGGCTGATGAACAACACTACAAAATTCTAAATTTAACCGCAATCACGAGTTTGAAACAGTGACACAGAGAGAGAAGATGAGTCTTATAGAAATCATTAAGCTAACTTTCTTGCATTCTAGATAGTAAATACAGGCTATAAGAAAATATTTGTATGCGCTAGTGAGAACTAGTGGCTAAAGGAAAAATTAACATGAAGAAAGCACCTTAATTAAGTTCAAAACACTACCTGAATATTTATCTGTGTTTTTAAGAGTACTTGTGCCAGCAAAGAAGCATGGTGATGCACACCCTCATGATATGGAGCTTGCCTTTCTGCTGCCTCACCATTCTCTTCCACTTAGAAAATCTTCTACCCATATTTCCCATATAACTAGTTTTTTTTTTTTTCTAATTGCCCTAACCACCAGTACCTGTACAGCTCTAATTTATATATTAAGATCTTGAACTTGTCACAGGGTCCACTTGGACCTTCGATTAACTCATCAATATCATAAGCACTCTCAGATATTCAACCAAAATAAGACGTTTAATATCTTTATTATATGAAGTTGCCGGCCACTGATTCTTGTCACCTTTGTAAAGCAGTTTCCAGGTACCAAACAAGAACCTTATCTTGTATAGTTGCTAAACCCACAGGATTATTGTCGTTTCTTGGAGACTTGGACACTGCTCTCCCACCGTTTTAGACTAAAAAAAGTTAATGAAAGGAACTTTTTGAAGACCCCATATATCAACTATAAACAAGAACCTCTCACGAACTCTAATAGCTAGCAACTCCTCAATTGGGACACCATCTCTTAGTTCTTGACAATTACGGGTCATCAAGAAAATAATGTTGCAGAGATGGCCCAAGAAATTAAGCAAACGAATCACAATGCCCTTTGGGTCTAAATCCTTGAGTCCAATCATGTTCCATTGCCATGCAAAAGAATGGCAAGAAAAGGGCTTATACCTTATCTTAACGCACCAGCATCAAAGATAAGATCTGAAATTTCGCAGATTGATCTGAGTGGACCTTTTGATTGATAATCAAACTGTTGATTTCCAGCTAATAAATGGGTCCAAATGGGATTAACTCCTAAGCCAAATAAGATCATACAGGTGGACTTTGTTTCGGCATCGACCAATGACATGGAAGATACGTGGCAGACGCACATTAAATAAAAACTGGGACACAAGTGATATAAAGATTGGAATGTTGTGCTGTGCTTAAGAGAACTAAAAAGAGAAAGAGGAAAAATCCAAGTTTGGTGGGGAGTTCTATCTTTATTGCATTTTGTTGGGGGTGGAGGAGATCAATAGTATAGTGGGGGGAAGTTTTTCAATCTGCAGTTGAGGATGTGACAAACTGAAGCACCATAATCACAACATCCCTTTTAAAGAAACATCATGGAAAACGAGATGAGATGGATAGAAATAATTGTGTAGTTTAAATCGAATTATCAATTTCTTATACAGTTTAATATTTAATTATTAGAGCATGGTCTACATCTTATCTTCTTAACTTAACATCAAGATAGAAAGTTTTAGAACAGTTGTGGATATACAACAAAAGTGGTGCTACACGGAATTATGAATAAGCAATATCTTAAGTTTGTAAACCACCGTTGAGTGTTCTAATGCTAAAAGAGTAAAGGAAGATCTATCGTGATCTTCTAAGTTCGAATCCCTTTAATGTTAAAAAAATAAGAGGAGGATCTAACATGGTCTGCTAAGTTCAAATCCACTGAGGGTAAAAGAGCAAGAAGAATATCTAATATGATCTTTCGAGTTTGAGTCCTCACAGTTGCAAATAGGGGTGGTCACTAGATTTTATATCTAATTGGTAGTTTTAAGATTCCAAGAAATTAGCTAAGGTGCGTGTAAACTGGCTCAAACTCTTTCAATCATGAAAAAAAAAAAAAAAAAAAAATCTTAAGCCTGTCTCGGCAATATGCATGCAAGAAGGTGAATGAAAGTTGAGTCAATCTCCCTCAAGTTGACAAAACCAGATGTTGTTACAGCAATCATATTGTATTTATACACTAAAAAGACGCAGATGAAGTTAATTTTCTCTTGCTTAACACTGCCGTCCAAAGTCATAACTTTTAGATAGCAGACAAATTAAGATGAATGCATATTAACCGACGATTGGTTGGCCCAAAGGTAATAGCTTGGGCTAAAGGGTTTATTCTCTTGTAGTCTGGTTCGAATTATAAGAAGAGTTTGACCTATTTTAAAAGTTTTGTTTGACATTAGAGAATTAGTTGAAGTACTGCATCAATCCGTAAAAAAAATAAAAAAAAAAATAAATAGCGTGCAGACTGCAGTGCTAACGTAATGCAGATGTAACCCATTTTTGTAACTTGTGTGAGACAATAATACTAGCCTTGTTAACCAATCTTACTAATCACCCTTACTGATTGACGTGGTAGCCAGCGTGGTAGAGCCATCTCATCTGCCACGTCACTAACATACTACATCAATTTCCCTCCAAAATTTAAAAAACAAAAACAAAAAAAATTCCCCAAATTCTTTCATTTCTCCTCTAAGTCAAATTTGAACCCTAATTCCATTTTAAAATAACAAACCGTTTGGTTTATAATTTTGTTGATGCTAGATTTTTACACCAACTAATTATCACGTGCGTGGTATTGTTTGATAAAAAAACACACATGAAAATGAATATAAAAAGCGAAATTAATGTTATGAGAGTTTTTAAAGTAGTTCGGATGCTAATGTAGCAAGTCCTACGTCCACTGATTTGTATTGATATTGATAATGTGGGTCAGGTCGCGACAGCGGACTGACTTACAAAAAGTTGGGAAAATAGATACAAAAGCGTGAGAGAGAGTTTTTTGTAAAATTGTCGAATCCCTTTAATGAGGGGTCTTCCTCTTCTTATACCCAGTTGAATGTGCATAATCATCACTAAATCTTTGGGTTGGTGTGATTGTCAGAACCTAATCTGATTTTACGTCCCATTACCCATTTTTCAAGCCGATTTCACGCGATCTGGAGTAGGCTAGCGGACACGTGGGAGCACCAGGGCGTTTGGCAGGCCTGACGTGCGCTTACCGTTCTGACGGGAGCAGGCCACGTTTCGTCACGCAACTCCACATCAGCCTTTGATTTCTTAGTCATAACAAATTTCATACCTTTTCCCAATATTACTCCCAAGATAATAGTTTGTTTAATTATTTAAGAAATACTATTATATTTTTTAATTACTTTTAGACCCTGTTAATTTAATTAAACACCCCCAGAAAAAAAGTTTAAAAATTAATAAAAACACCCTCACCCACCTATAGTTGCCAAATTATGGCTACCACTGTCAAATCTGTCACAACGGCCTACAAACGATCAAAATTGGTCGGTAATTCATCGATCTGGCCTTTTTGGCTATTGACGGCCAGATCGACACACATCTGGTCAGATCCAATCTGTCTACGTCGTAACACTAGATTCTGACCAGATTTTGACAATGGTGGCAAGAATCTGGCACTGTGAGAGGGTGAGGGTGTTTTTATTATTTTACAAAAATTTTATATATTGAGGTGTTTAGTTAAATTAACAAAAAATTAGCAAACTTATGGGTTTTTTTTGTTAATTTTAAAATTTTGTCTCGTAATAATTACCCTATTTAATTATACAATATTATTTATAAAATCTTATCTAAAATAAGAAACCAAATGAGCCCAAACCTCTTCCACCACCACCACCACTGTTTGTCCTCTACCACCACCGTCGCCGTCTGTCCTCTTCCACCACCGCTCCATCCTTTACAAAATCCACAAGTTTCGGGCCACCAATCTATCAGTCAAAGCCTCCCCAATTGCACAGATCTGCTTCCTCATTTTCACCGTAAGTTTCTTTCTTTTATTTACTGTTTAGATCTTGTTGAATGTTTGTTGATTATATTTCGGATTTTCTTTTTCTATTTTTAGTTTTTGTCGACTGCTGGAGAATTTAAAGACTGAATGTTATAATTTCATTTTGTATTTAGACAACATTATTGTTGTCACAAATGGGAATGATTTAAAATTGAACTATGGGGCATGAAACAAGGATATTTCTTTCCAGATCTCTTTTGAAATTGCTTGAAATAGTTCAATATTGATTTTCTGCTTTTTTCCTCCTAATTTTTGTTCTTTATTTTCTCAAGAAATGGTGAATGAAGAAAGTTTTGATGGGGATCAGAAAATGGATGGAGTACAATCCAATACTTGTGAAGAATGTGTAAGCTAGTTTCAAGAAACTAGCTTACCAAAGTAAAATTCTAATATTCGATAAACGGACAAACTGACATAAGAGCTTCAAGTGTGTTGTCGTATTGCAGGTGATGTGGTATTTTAAGTCTATTTTGGATGATGTTTCGAATTTGTATTATTAAATGGACAAACCATACAGTGCTGGTTTGCATTATTCAATGGACTGTTTTTGCTGATAATCTTTTTTATGTATTTGGAATGAATTTAGACCTTTGTCATTCATTAGATTTATATAATTGGAATGAATTTTAGAGAAAGTGTTTGTTAAGCATATTCTGTCTAGCTGGTTATTAAAATGAATTGCAACATTTATTGAATTCCCAAGATAATTACCTCTCAATCACATGTGATTTCATCACATCAACAAAGGATCAAAGAAGTCATTGTCAGATAAATCAACAAATTGGAAAACAAAAGAGTCGAAGTATGACATTTACCATATAGAATATTATAATTTTACGTTTTTGTATTATAAACAGTTGAATTTAGGTGCCAATACATAAAGATCCATATCTAAACAAATATACAAATACTATATTACATACATCTAACTTTGTCAAATGGTAGCTAATAGAGATCTATTCAATCTTCATACACAAGACAGGATCCAGTTGAACTTGGAGCGTGCACTCTCTTTCTTGTCAACATTTCTACTGTTGGGAACTTTCTTTTCCTTCTGCCCCTAGGTCTCAACCTGAATTTCTCATCAAAAGCAGCGACAAAATCGCTCTGATTCCCAAGCAATCAGAATACTCGGTAACAAGACATTCCTTGTTTGTAAAGTATTTCATACATCCTGACTCAGAACAAAATGCCTCCTTAGAATCCAACTTAATTGTGGTAATAAACACGTATCAAAAAACTACTAAAAGGCTCTCAAAAAATTAAAACAAAACCATTCACAACAAAATACATTAAAATGACAACAAAGGAAAACTTCCACATAAAGAACTTGAAATCAAAATAACTTACCATGTGATTCCTCGTGCTTTTGCAACTTTGATTTGTATTTGAATATTTTTCCACAACCAACTTCCTGGCAGATATACTGCTTCTGACCTTTAACATCAAAGGATGAACAATCCTCATCATGAAATTCTTTAACATGTCTCTTCATGTTACTTTGGTGAACTCACAATTGCATTTCTCAATGGGGAAGGTGAATAATTTCCCTTGGTGTTGAATCAGGTTGCGAGTCAAATGATTTTTTCTTCTATAGTTGGCATGGCAATCGTCTACTGAACAAATGAATGGTCTCTGCAATAATATCAAAGGTATTAAAAATGGCAACTTCATAGCCAACAAAATCAAAGTAACTGATTCTCTATTTCTTCTCATAGTAAATAAATAAATTGAAAGTTCAAATACATAGATTCAAACCTCAAGTTCAGACAACGCATATTTGAGGCTTACTTAATGGAGCTTCTCAGGAGGTCTCCCAACCTGATACTAGTACATTAAGTTCAAAGCTAAAGCCTCGCACATTTTGGAGTTCCTTGTGGGATCCAATGCTTCACGCTATACATCCATGGTTATATACTCAGAATGCAATAACTTCTTCAAAATCATTGATCATTAATTGATATGAACAATTAGAACAATTCTATTTGATAACATACTCAAGCTGTACAAATGATGTTGGATTATAGCAAAACGGATTATATGACCTTCAAAAATATCATACAATGCATTGACAACCATAAATAAATAACTCCAATCATTGACTTACTAAATAAATGTGACTATAATAGACAAACTCATAATTAAATACCTCAAGTGAATGACTCTGCATTTATTGCTTTAGGTAAGCTGGTTTCTTGAAACTAGCACCACATTCTTCACAAGTATTGGATTGTACTCCATCCATTTTTTTACCCCCATCAAAACTTTCTTCATTCACCATTTCTTGAGAAAATAAAGAACAAAAATTAGAAGGAAAAAAACAGAAAATCAATATTGAACTATTTTAATCAATTTCAAAAGAGATCTGGAAAGAAATATCCTTGTCTCATTCCCCATAGTTCAATTTTAAATCATTCCCATTTGTGACAACAATAATGTTGTCTAAATACAAAATGAAATTATAACATTCAGTCTTTAAATTCTTCAGCAGTCGACAAAAACTAAAAATAGAAAAAGAAAATATGAAATATAATCAACAAACATTCAAAAAGATCTAAAAAGTAAATAAAATAGAGAAACTTACGGTGAAAATGAGGAAGCAAATCTGTGCAATTGGGGAGGCTTTGATGGATAGATTGGTGGCCCGAAACGTGTGGGTTTTGCAAAGGATACAGCGGTGGTGGAAGAGGAAAAGCAAATGACGGCAGCGAATGGTGGTGGAAGACGACAGACAGCGGTGGTGGTAGAGGACAGATAGCTGTGGTGGTGGAAGAGGATAGATTGGTGGTAGTGGAAGAGGTTTTGTTACTCACCGTTTATTACTTTATGTAGGGGTAAAATTAAGATTAAAAGGATATACAAAGTTGGAGTTAGTTTACCATTGTCACCACCTTTCTAACCTCCTCAGTCAAATTCCCCTTTCAACCATTTGTACTGGGGGTGGGTGGGTCCGGTATCTACCCAAATTCAAAGAAACTGGAATCAGAACATGCTAATTCCTTAGATGTGAAATCGAAACAGACCAATTTCAATTCTTAGAAGCCAGGAACCGAAACCCAAAACACAGATTCCGATTCCGAGTTAATTTTAATTACCCCCTATTTTTTTAAAAATAATAAATAAACCATCTAAAAATTACAAATATATCTCCAATAGTTTATAGAATTATAATTCAATCCCAAATTCTACCCAGATGGCAAGTTCCTATTTGATTTCTTATAGAGTTTAATGGAAGAGAAAACTGCAAGGGCCTATGTAGCAACAAATTTTGTTGCATTGGGCCGTCCAGCCCAATAACTTTTCAGAATTTCTCATTAACACTAATAGTGAGGTAATAATTAGTGCCAACTTTAACCTATAAAATTATTTTTAAAAGTTATAAAAAAATTGTAAAATATTCTTAATTAATTTAGACGATAAATAAAAAAGATTTCAACTGAAAAAAGTAAAAGAAAATAAAACCGTAGGATAATTATGTAAGATTAAAACATCAAATATCCAGCAGGTGATAACATAGAAATTAGAATGAATATAAATGGAGGGTTAAAATTATTTAATAATCCGTTTTGATTAAGAAACTTTGGGACATGTAATCCAACGGTTAGGAGGGGGCAAGGCCACTGGAACCGAAAATAACCACCTCTCATAGTCCTACCAGTGAGTCAAACCATCCTATCTTTTAGTTGTAAATACTATTAAGTTTGTAGTTTCTCGAAGAAGGGAAGAGTTTTCAGCTCGAGGGAGGAAGAAAATGTCGTGCTTGGCATCATGCTGTACAGCAATGACCTGTGGGCTCTGTACATCGGTGGCTTCAGGGATCTCCAAGAAGTCAGCTCGACTCGCCTACTGTGGTCTCTTTGGACTTTCTCTCATCATTTCTTGGGTCCTTCGAGAAGTTGCCGCTCCTCTCTTAAAAGAATTACCTTGTAAGTCTTCATCCTTGTAATTTATTAGTTAATATGATAATTCAGTTGCATTTTTAATCTTCCACTTCAATGTTGGCGCAATTTCAATGATCATGATTTGTCAAAATTCAGTTCATATATTTAAGCAAATTTTGAACTGGGGAAAGAATTGAATTGTTGATTTTTTTTTCTTCGCTTGGAAACTTTGATAATCATGAGCGTTGTTGGACGTATGAGTCCGTTTATTCAGCTTCAAATTTTTTTTTCCTTCGCTTGGAAACTTGTTAATCTGTTACAATTAGTTTCTGGTGTCTTGTGACTTGTGAGTAATCTTAAATGCCAATACAATTGCTGCTGCCTTATTAACGTACCTATAGAATAGCTTTTGAGCTGTTTCAAGTTCAATCGGGCTTTTAAAAAAAAAAAAAGGCTCGAGCTCTGTTGTGATAATTGTATTGGTATGAGAGCTCGTAATCTGAATCCAAGCTGAACTTCTTGATGTCAGAGTTTGAGCTCGGAATCTAAACAATACATTATCAAGCTTGAGTTCGGTTGTTTATTGAACAAATCGAGCTGATTGAACTCTTATTTCAAATAGTTAGAGAAATGCTTGCAACGTTATTATATCCCCTAAATTTAAGTTTTCAGTCCATTCTATCTAAATATGATTGAGTAATGGTATCAAGATAAGATTTCTTGCTTAGTCACAAAATCTTTGGTGCTTTTTTGTAGGGATAAGCTCTTCTGAAACACATTCAAAGGAATGGTATCAGATACAAGCAGTTCTTCGTGTGAGCTTGGGGAATTTTTTGTTTTTTGCAATATTTGCGCTTATAATGATTGGTGTGAAGGACCAAAATGATCGACGAGATTCATGGCACCATGGAGGATGGATAGCAAAGATGGTTATCTGGTTTTTGCTTGTAATCCTTATGTTTTTCCTCCCCACTATTGTCGTCTCAATCTATGGTTAGTTTTGATCCTGTAGTTGATTTGATACAATGGATTCAGAATGCTGCTTTTTTCTGTTTTTTAATTCCTAAAAACCAATATTAGTGAAGGAATTCATGATCTTTGTAATGATTTATTGCCCGCTTCATATTTGGTAAGGTGCTATGTGTCCTCAGGCTGCTTTCTGGTTTTTCAGTTCTCGAAACCTATATTTTTTTTGTACTTTTTCATTCAGATTCAACATTGATTTCACTTATAGGTTATATCTAATTAGATTTCAGCAAAGCAAGAGAAAACTTTATTCCTTGTCTACTGTTACATGAAATGTTTATATGAAAAAAAATGATGTTTATCTACCGGGTACTCATCGTTTTATCTTTTTAACTGAACTGTAACCTCCCAATATATTTATCAGTGGGTATTGTCAACTAAATGGTTCATGTGTGCCAATGTGCAAAGATTGGAGAGAAAGAGAAAGGGGGGAGTTTAGCTACTTTTCTCCAATGATGATGCTCCTCTTGACTATGTTGGCATACTTTTCCCAATCTGACTTACATATTTTTGCACTATATAATTCTTTTCTGACTTTGAATGTGAGCATCAAATTATCAGCGTATGCAAACTTACTCTACTTGCAGAAACCATATCAAAATTTGGGGCCGGACTATTTTTATTGGTTCAAGTCATTATACTGCTAGACTTTGTCCACTCTTGGAATGATGCATGGGTTGCAAAAGATGAGCAGAAGTGGTTAGCTCAAATTCTAATTCCTCATCATATTCTCCTCTCATTGTTTCTGTTTAACCTCTAACATTATAATTGGGTGTGTTTAGGTATGTTGCTTTACTTGCAATATCAATTGGATGCTATCTTGTGGCTTTTACATTCTCAGGAATTCTGTTTATCTGGTTCAATCCCTCTGGCAATGACTGTGGCCTGAATGTCTTCTTCATTGTCATGACCATGATTCTTGCATTTGGTTTTGCAGTTATAGCCTTGCATCCTTCGGTAAGCATTAGTATCATGTTTTCTTTTCATTGATGTCTAATAAGCAATATAGCGTACAAAGAGTTACCTGATTGAATGACTTCCAACATCTGGTTTACATATTTTCTATGCTCAACATTGCTTGATGAATTAGATTGACATCTAATGTCCATGCTCTGGCATTGTACTACACGAATGGAAATTTTCTTTGATAGGTCCTATTTGCTAATTAGTTAGTTTTATCCCAAGTAACATTACAAGAGCAGACTCTGTCACTCCTATTTGATCAGGAGACCCAGTTGTCTTTGGTATGCACCACCGCCCCCGGTCCCAGGCTTGTCAAGTCACAAGTCATAATTTGAAACTTTAGGATAAAGTTCTGCCCTGTTACACCAATATGAATAACACGGGATTAGGGAGCTGCTGAAATATGTATTTTAATATATTTCCTGAATAAGTTTTTTCCTTGTGCTGTCAACATATAACAGTACTAATTTATTTTCTGAGTATGTTGAAATTCCTCTTATGTATCATGATCTGTCAGTATGCTTAAATTTCTTGTCAAGTTTGGAGAAACTGGTGAGTGTCTATCATACTGGTGTTGTTCCCTTTTAATGAACTTGACAATGGAATTATGTAACAGGTGAATGGCAGCCTGTTGCCTGCGTCTGTGATATCAGTTTATTGTGCTTATGTATGCTATACGGGTCTCTCCAGCGAACCTCGTGACTATGCATGCAATGGTCTCCACAACAAATCCAAAGCAGTTACCACAAGTACCCTTATTCTTGGGATGCTGACCACTATTCTCTCAGTGTTGTATTCTGCTCTTCGTGCTGGTTCTTCAACAACATTTCTGTCACCACCATCTTCGCCTAAGTCAGGTGTTAAAACTTCATAGAATCCTTATTAGATTTTTAAAAATGCAGAAACAAATTTTATCTCTACAATTGACATAAATTATCCATACATGTTTATTGTTACTTCATTCTTTGCTGTTTTTCTCATCACCTGTAGAATGTGACTGTTTCTTGTCAAAGGCCAAACAAACTTTGTTTTAGGTGCATGTTTTATTATGAAATCTGTTTAGCCTAGCCTTACTTGCTGCATGTAATATTTGCAAATGTGAGACTGTCACAAAATTTCAGTTTTTTTTTGGGACTACTTGTCTGCAAAAGAATATGCTCAATTCCTAGAAGATAGCTATTTTCTGGAAAATCAGTTGAGAGTCTCTGTTAGGGCAACCACTTGGTGGTCTTTAACAATGGACAAACTTCTAGTTCTTTAAAGGAAGGGTTCCAAAGGATGCCATCAAAAAGTGATAAATTCAACTAGGTTGACCTGATTATCACATTTATGCATACTCTTTCCTAAACAAAGTATCTTTGCCTTGAACTCAAAAAGCTAAAAAAATGTCCGTGTTATTGCATTTCAAGTTATTCCTAATGTTCCTGTTTTGCAGCTGCAAAGAAACCATTGCTTGAAGGAGAGGATGTGGAAGAGGGAAAAGAAAAGAAGAAAGAAACGGAAGCAAGGCCAGTTAGTTATTCCTATTCATTCTTCCACTTGATATTTGCTTTGGCCAGCATGTACTCAGCTATGCTTTTATCCGGCTGGACAAACTCATCTGAAAGCTCAGACCTGATTGACGTTGGCTGGACATCAGTTTGGGTTCGAATCTGCTGTGAATGGGTCACTGCTGCACTCTATGTCTGGACACTACTGGCCCCTGTGCTCTTACCAGACCGTGAGTTCTTCTAAAAATTCCCTTCATTACAATGCTTAGCAAACCCAGTGACCCGAATTCCCAAGTCGATCTATTTAACCTACGCCTTGGTTCTCCTTTTTACCATTTTAATGGTTGATGGAAGATGGCGGCAACAGACTTGACTTGTGTTATTTGTTGTAACATTCTATAGCAGTTGTTGTATAAAGCATATATATGTGTGTGAGTAATGTATATGTAGTGCTTCCTAAGAAAGACATTTGTTGATTTGTTAGTTGAAGTGAGCAGGAAGCAAGTGGAAGTGCTTTTCTTGCGTGCTGGAAATGGTATCAAGTATTAACCCAATTCTTCTCTTTTCTTTTTTCAACTTTTATCAAAATTTTCATTGTCAAGTTATCTAAAAGAGCTTCAATTTGGCATTCTGCAACTGAATTACATTAATTTTGAAGAAAAACAGTGGACCCTGACCCTGACCCTGACCCTGTCCTCACTATGAATATTCTTGTTTACGCGGAGGATTTCCAAGTCAACAATCAGCGGCTAACTAAACTGGCTAGTCTACTCATTCATGGTTCCCCTGCATATCAATTTATGAGCATTAGTCCAAACCTTTGACTACCAAGTACCAACCATTAACATTTTCTACAAAATATCTCTTATACCAAAAATCAGTTTTACTATTTTTATTTTTAAACAATAATACACTGTTTCCTAACAGAGACATACCTAAAATACCAAATGGGGCTCCTCAAGGAAAGAATAAAATCTTTTTTTTTTTTTTTGAAAACGACGAAAAGAAAAAGAAAAAGGAAAATTATATTCCCTATCCCCACTCTCACTGAAAGCTCGTGAAATACACACCCAGACTCTCCTCCCCTTTTCCTTCCCACCCACACTCTCTATCTCCCTTACAAACAAGCCCCCATTATTTCGTCTCCCCTAACATGCACCACCACCACCTTCTCTACACCGCCATGCCCTCCCCCACCACCTCCTCCTCCTCCACCTGCGCCGCCACCACCTCCAATTCCCTCCTCTGCAAACACTCCCCCTCCGCCACCCTCGACCTCCTCATCCTCATTCTCGTCTTGTTCTCCGGCACTTTCTTAATCTCCTCTTACTTCTCCTACATCTTCCACTCCCTCTCCCTTCTCCTCTCCCAGTCCTCCCCACACTTCCTCCCCCCCGTCCCCTACATCCTCGGCTTCCTTCTCCTCTTCATTTCCATGGTTTTGCTTCTTGAATTTTGCTGTGGACGCCGCTCCAGGAAGTGTCATAACCCTAATTGTAAGGGCCTCAAGAAGGCTATGGAATTTGATTTGCAACTTCAGACCGATGATTGTGTGAGATCGGGTGTTGCCGACGACATTGATCGCTTGCCCTGGAAAGGTGGCTCCGAGTCTAATCCTGATTACGAGTGTCTTCGGGCCGAGCTACGGAGGATGGCCCCAGCTAATGGTCGGGCTGTTCTGTTGTTTCGCGCCCGGTGTGGCTGCGCCATCGCCAAACTTGAAGGCTGGGGGCCCAAGCGCGGCAGAAAGCATAAAAAGTGAGTTTTTTATATTCAAATATCAATCTTTTATTATGTGAATTTGGTTGATGATTGATTGAATTGGTTGTTAGCTCTAGTTAAAACATTTTTGTTTGAATTGAAGAATGGTTGACTTTGTTTTTGCGAATTTGCATTTCTCATCATCTGGGTCACCGGAGTCTAATTCGTTCATCGACTAGCGGATTTTTCCCAGCTATGAATTATTGGCATCATGTGGCTTTCATTGTTTCTTGTTGGAGATTAATTTGTTGCTTTGAGTTTTTATGGGAATTGCGATGCCCTTTTTTTGTTGCAACATTTGAAGTCTAGGATGCTGGAGATCTTGATGAACAATGTTTTCATTTCTTGGTGCCTATTTGAACCATCATTCTGGCATAAAATTTGACCATGGGAAATGAGGATGGTGATATACTGAAGCATAAATATTGTCTTTCATTTTTTGTTCAGATAGTTTGTGAATCCCTGTCTAATTGTCAAGTTTTGCATTATTGTTTTTGTTAATATTGATATAATTTCTGGTGTTTTCACATCTTTTTCTAAGATGAAGTTCATTCAATTCTTCTGCATTTATTTATTTATTTTTTTTTTGAAGTTTTACATGCTATTCAATTTAGAGATCAAATACGAGAAAGGTTATCAGTTCTTTTTAGATTCAGGGAAAGTGTAGCAGTAGAAGCTCTGTGCAAGGCTTGATCTTTGTATAAGTTGGTTGTTGCACATTAGATTTTATGGATACATCCTTTTTACAATCATACAAAGGAAATCCTCAGTGAAATTCTTTAGAAGTTTCTTNTTTTTTTGAAGTTTTACATGCTATTCATTTTGAGATCAAATACGAGAAAGGTTATAAGTTCTTTTCAGATTCAGGGAAAGTGTAGTAGTAGAAGCTCTGTGCAAGGCTTGATCTTTGTATAAGTTGGTTGTTGCACATTAGATTTTATGGATACATCCTTTTTACAATCATACAAAGGAAATCCTCAGTGAAATTCTTTAGAAGTTTCTTTAACTGGCTTATACTAACATTCCTTTTTTATTTAGCCATTATGATTATATTGTGTTAAGAGGATGTAAAAAAGCTATGATTAGCCAAGCTTTTCTGTTGTTTCGGTTTAGCCTTTTCTAGGTTTCCTCAGCTATTTTTGAATTTTTGTTATAAAATCCACTAACTGTGGTTCAGTCCTTTGACCAAATTATGTGTCTCCTCCTGACCCTAATGACACAAAACAAAAGGCTTTGAAGTGGTGGCAAAGTGCAAGTCGCAGGAGATTGCCTATATTTTCGAAATTCCATGGCTTCTACATTATATTCAGAGTTTAATTTCACATTGATCTTGATAGCATAAGAACAAAGTAAACTTATTGATAAAGCTCAGCAGAAACGCTTGTGCACTTGGAGAATGTCCCTATCTGTGCATGTGAATTGTTTTAATATGATACAGTGGAGGGAATTCTTCTAGAGAATGTCTATTTGTGCATGTCAGAAGTTATTTAATATGATATAGCAGAGGGAATTCTTGTAGTGTCTATAACACTTTTGTTCGTTCTGTCATTAACTTAAATATTTTGCTAAAATCTGGGTTTATACTTATGGCTTGTGTAAATGGCAGTCTCTTTTGATACCGCAGAGCACAAGATTTAGACGTAAGAAATTCAAACTTCTAGATAATTCTAACATACTGATGGTCCTGTACTGACTTTTCTCAGTCTTTTGAATCAGTAAGAGCCAAAATCTTCAAGCAGACTAATTGTTGGAATTAGGTTGGGCACTTTTAAACTTCCCAATGAGTGATAAATACATATCTGGATTTGCTTCTCAAGGTTTAATTTGGCAAAGTGATGATAATATAGTATAGTTACTTGTGTCCTTTTAAACCATCATGCAGATATGTATAAGGTTGTCTTTCTGGAGTGGAGCTATAAGGTTAGGCTATGTCTGAGAAATTGTTGAGCTTTCTGAGTGTCATTATCGGATCAGTTACACAATGGTTTGACAGTAGTGAACAATCTAAAGAAGATGCCCATCCCAATTTTGTCTAGGTTATCCAAGAATGTTCAATTTGTTGAAAATCTTGGCACTAGTCATCTTCCTAGAAAAGATTATGTGTTGTGTAACTGAGAAATACCTCTTACCTCACTGGCTCACTTCTTGCTCATGCCTATTTGTTCTGACTTGAAATAATCAATTTTTCATGTAGATTTTGTTGTTCTTCCCTGCATTATTATATAAATTGAAGGAATTAATTAGTTATAAATTTTTGCTTCTAGCCATTTGATAGTCTAAAAGTTAACTCACTGCTGAAATTTTGGATTTCTGGAGTAACTCGATTAACAACAGAGTCCATAAGGTTATTTTGGTAGAACCTTAAAAAATATTATAAAGCTTTCACTCAGGCAATCAAACAGAGTTGATACAGTTATATGCTGTCTATGACATCTAAGACTGACTGAATTGTATCCAAAACCTCACATATTTTGGTTTGTTGGTATTGATTATATTATATTTATTGCTGGCAATGCAGGGCTATGGCTAATCTGGCTTCAAATGGAGATAGTCGCTGACTATTGGTGGAGGATTTCTTGGTGGGCTTCCCATTATATATTTCAAGTCTTTTACTATTTATTCACCTTTCAGATTTGAAAATATTTTCTCAAGTTTTAGAAGACTTCACTTTGAATCAGAACAATTATCTAATTCAATTCACTGTCTGGATAATTGTCTCTCATTTCTGGAAATATATACCAAATTTAATGAGAATAAATATATGAAATGCAAGATAGATTCTTTGTTCACTTCAATAATGTTGTTGTATTATTAGCCATGTTGTTGTATTATGAGCCTCGCCATGCGGTTGAACTTTTGGAGTCAAAAGTGTCTCAAGCTGTACTAGTTGATTACTGGAATGGGTTTTTAGGTATTTTGCAGAAACAATTTAAGGATGGGTTTGGGACTAGTGATGTGTATTCACCCCTATTGCATTCTTGATTTCTTGGTTTGGTTTCAGAAATTTTATAGCAGTTTTGCAATGTGTTGGGAATCTTACCTCAAATATAGGAGAATTGATGAGTTAATGTCTGTGATGAGGTTTGTGGTTGATCTCCTTTCTCAGCCTTGCAGTTGCTTAATAAACTTCTACTGCATATGCGTCAATATGATGGTTCACACAAATTCTTGTGTTTTTCATGGTTGTAATGACCTGCATTTTCTACCAAACCTTACCTTAATTCTAAATTTAAAATTCTAATTTTGATCAACAATGATAAATTCACAAACTTCTCTTACAATCTCAAATATGGCAACTGAGTTGATATTATCACGTCAGTTTCATCACACCCAAAGGCACACCTAAGAAACGATCATTCTTTTATAGGGAAGCAGTCGTTCCTTTATAGGGAACGATTGTTATTATAAAAGGATGGTCGTTTCTCACGGAAGGAATGATCGTTTCTCTCTAAGGAATGATCATATCGTTATGGAATCGTCATACATTCATAAGGTATGATCATACCTTCATATAAGGAAGGAATAGTTGTTTCTAGAGAGGAACGACCATTCTTTCATAGCGAACGGTCAATCCTTATAAATGAATGACCGTTCGAGTTTAATTAATTAAAAATTATGGGATTGGGTTGTAAAAAAACTTTTTTTTTTTTTTTTGCCCAAAATGTTTATCTAAAGTTATAGATACCTTTTTAAATATAATATATATTTTCAGATATGTTTGATGTGTCTCAAAAATGTTTATAAAATTTTAATCAAGTTATTTTATATAAATAATATTAGGTATACATACAAATTGATGCAATATCAAATTGTGGATGAATTTGTATTTAAGTCAACATTATTACTATTGGATTGATATGGACGAATGATTTGACGATAAAATAGTCGTGTCACACCAATTTTAAAATTAATGTTATAATATCAAAAAATTAATACCATTTTGAGGATATTATCTCGTAATATTGGCCTATTGGGGAATTACTGCTTTTAAGAACTCTTAACTTATAATATTGAGAAATTAACGGCGTGCGTTAAGGTCTTTATCTTATAATATTGGCCTATTAGGAAATTAACGCCTGAAAGGACGAGATATTAATGTCATTTTGGGGATATATATATAAACATTCTTTTTAGTAATTTAAGATTAAAAAGTTGTCATATTTGGTTCATTAAACAATTAATATTTTTTTTTCCTATAAATTATAATCTGAAGTAGTTTATGGCAGTTTAAAATCTTTGTTTAATTTAGAGGAAACCATCAAACTTGTCTCCAACACTGGTGTCTTTGATTTAAAGAATATTGTGTTATTGAGAATATTATATTCTATTAATGAAAGATTATTGAAAATGTTTAAGGAAATATGTTAGGTTAAAATAAATTGATGGGTATGTTATATTAATATGTTTAGTTATGAGGATAAATTGATAGACGTGTTATAAATATTACTAAATTGTCTCCCTTTTTAAATATTAATATAATATTATTTTTTGAATAATTTTTATAATTCCCTACATTTGAAATTTTGCTAAAACACTCCAGTTCATATAAAACTTTAATTTGTAACAAAATCACCATCATCCACCTCAAGCCACTGCTAGCCACCATTGCCAACTGCCTCTGGCAACTATAAAACTTGAAAACATTTTTGGCCATATCATTGGTCGAAAACGACCATATGGTCGTGAATTTGACCGTTTCTATTATAGCCATTTTTGGCCAAATCTGTGACCGTTGTACGCCATGGATCTGGTCGTTAACAACCAAATCTATTCTGACGTCCACGACTATGGATCTGGTTGTTAACGATCAGATCTATTTCAGCCAGAATAGATCTGACTGTTAATCGCTAGATCCATTGTCTGGTCATTTTCGGCCATATTTACGCATAGTGACCATTTCTGACGACTTCTAGTGGCAGTCGACAATGATTGACCAACTGCCGATAGTGGTGACTGATGGATGATGGTGGTCTTGGATAACCTATAATTTGTTTTAAATATAAAGACAATATTATCCAAAAACTTAATTAAATATGGGTAAAATTATAATGACAAACTCATGTAAATTAATTTTAAAATAAAGGTATTATTATCTAAAAAAATTATTAATAAAAAATAAAATTATAAATAATATAATTACAATTGATTTTAAAAGATTATCGAAATCTTAAATCACTAAAATACTAAACATTACAATCATGTAAATATAATACACAATACGTCGTAAATCTTTGTTACCCCCATCCAAAGTCCAAACACACCCAAAATAGCAGACATCTTTTCCCTCCAAAAACTGCCCCCCTCTCTCTGTATAATCCAAACTCCTTCCCATGATCTCGTCTCATGATCAAATCTCTCACTCACAAACCTTCTCTTTTACTCTCATTTCCACATCTCAAATGCCTCTCCACCACCTCCCCAAACCCAAAATCCCCACTCCACCATCTTCGTACTCTCTTCAACTCCACCACAACCTCTCTTCAAAACTCAAACTACGAGAAAGCCTTAGTTTCAGCTCTCAAGTATTCTGCAACAAATACGGCCATCTCTCAAGGCCTCCAAATCCACTCCCTAATCTTGAAATCAGGCCTTGAATCAAACAATTTCATCCAGAACAGCTTGATTAACATGTATGCGAAATGCGGGTTCATTTCTCATGCCAAATTTATCTTTGATTCTTGTTCTAGGTTGGACCCAGTATCTTGTAACATTATGATATCTGGGTATATAAGAAACGGTAGATTAAATGACGCACGCCAGCTGTTCGATGTAATGCCCAATAAAGGTTGTGTTTCGTATACTACTATGATAATGGGGTTTGCTCAAAGCGATCATTGGAGTGAAGCAATTGATGTTTTTAAGGATATGAGTAACGTGGGGGTTATACCGAATGAGGTAACTTTAGCCAGCGTGATTTCGAGTTGTGTGCATGTAGGTGGGATTCGGGGGTGTAGAATGTTGCATGGGTTAGTTATTAAATTGATGATTGATGGGTTTGTTTTGGTCTCAACTAATTTGTTACACATGTATTGTGTTTGTTCGAGTTTGGGGGATGCAAGAACTTTGTTTGATGAGATGAAGGAAAAGAATATTGTTACATGGAATGTGATGTTGAATGGGTGTGCGAAAGCGGGGCTAATTGATTCCGCAAGAGAGTTGTTCGACAGTATTCCTACGAAGGATGTGGTTTCATGGGGTACAATAATTGATGGGTACGTGCAAGTGGAATGGTTAAGTGAAGCTTTGACGATGTATCGTGCAATGCTACACGATGGAGTAGCACCAAATGATATCATGATTGTGGATTTGATTTCAGCATGTGCTCGAGCCATGGCAATCAGTGAGGGTTTACAAATTCACAGTACAATAGTGAAGGCTGGTTTTGATTGTTATGATTTTATACAGGCTACAATTATTCATTTCTATGCAGCCTCTGGGAGGATCAACCTGGCTTGTTTGCAATTTGAGATAGGAATGAAGGAACATATTGCATCTTCGAATGCCCTCCTCGCAGGATTTATAAGAAATGGAATGATTGAAGAAGCAAGACAATTATTCAATAACATGCCTGAAAGAGATGTTTTTTCATGGAGCACCATGATTTCTGGTGATGCTCAAAGTGATCAGCCTATCATGGCTCTAGAACTCTTCCATAGAATGGTAGCTTCTGGAGTGAAACCAAATCAAATCACTATGGTGAGTGTTTTCTCTGCAATTGCCTCTTTAGGCACGTTAAAAGAAGGAAGATGGGCTCATGAATATGTTTGTAACAATTCCATCCCTCTTAACGACAATTTAAGTGCTGCTATTATCGACATGTACGCTAAATGTGGCAGCATTAATTCTGCCGTAGAAGTGTTTAATCAAGTCAAAGAGAAGGCATTAACTGTCTCACCTTGGAATGCAATCATATGTGGGTCAGCAATGCATGGACATGCAAACTTGTCTCTCAGAATATATAATGAATTGGAAAGGCGAAATATTAAGCTTAACTCTATTACATTCATCGGAGTCCTGAGTGCATGCTGCCATGCTGGGTTGGTAGATTTAGGGGAGAGATACTTCAAGAGCATGAAGAGTGTGTATAATATAGATCCTGACATCAAGCATTATGGTTGTATGGTAGATCTCTTAGGCAGGGCAGGGCGATTAGAAAAAGCTGAGGAAATGATTATGAGCATGCCCATGAAGGCTGATGTTGTTATTTGGGGCACATTGTTGGCTGCATCCAGAACACATGGAAATGTGGAAATCGGAGAAAGGGCTGCAAAGAGTTTGGCAGGTTTGGAACCATCTCATGGGGCGAGTAGAGTTCTTTTATCTAACATATATGCCGATGCAGGGAGGTGGGAGGATGCATTTTTAGTCAGGAAAGTTATGCGCAGTAATGGAATGAAGAGATTACCTGGATGCAGTGGCGTTGTATAATTCTTGATCAGGTTTTAATAAACCTAATAGTTTCAGCTAACATGAGGATGAAGACTGCCAGTCGGTGAAGATAGCTTTTTAATTTCATCTTCAGCTATATATATATATAGATTACTCACAAAATTTTGGAAAATTTTACATCTTTATCATTAATAAAGCTTTTATTTTAGTCTTCTGTTTATCAGTTCCTTTCTACACCATTTGGCTTGTTGCATCTACTGTCAATCTGCATTCAACCAGTTATAGCAAATTATTTATCACAAATATTCTTGAATGGCAGTTATTAAGAAGCTAGACTCGGACTACTGGAGGTGCAGCTAATTCGCCATAAGTTTCGGGTACTTTAAATTTTGTAACTAGTCTTACAAAATTGCCCTGCCTCTTGCTAATCTTTTATCTTGTCAGTGGATGAAACTAAGTTATTACAAAGCATAAACAGGCAAAATTTGGCTGACATAACAATTATTTATGGCTAATGACCCTGAGTTGAAAATTTTGGGCCTTCCTGTACATGAACATTCAATTACACAAAAGAAGATAATTTATGAACTATACAACTACATACTGTCCTATAAGAAATCGCCAACGATGGGGATAAAATTGAGAAAATAAAGTCATTAATCCTGCTCAATTATCAGTTCAGCAGCTGCACCCATCGCGCCAATTCCACCAATCCCAAGCAGTGCCATGGCAAGCTCCTCTTCATTCCATTGTGTTAGCCCCTTACTTAGTCTCTTCAATACTTCTACATCCATCTCTAGCACCCAAGTCGGCGTGCAACCTACCATCAGGCTCACAAAACCCGAGACGTAGGCACGCCAAGTGGCCCAGTCACAACCAAGTGATATCTTTCCATCAAGCGCACTTGCAAGGAATTCCAGATGGGTTCCCAGGACTTTAGGACGCCGCTTTGATGCTGAAGATGATGAGTCAACTCCCCAAGCAAAAGCTCCGCAAAGCACCGCAAAATATGCAAGTGCATATCCTCCAAGCATTGCAACTAGCCCATCTGATCCTTCTCGTTCAGACCTGTGAACCGATATAAACCAAGAAGGCAAAGTTTCTTTTATCACTGACAGCACTAAGCCTAAACCCCCAGATAACCACACTAATGAAGCCCCAAGTGAAGCTGCAAGTTTCACTTTAGTCATTCCTGCTGCAAGTGAAACCTGCCCATATCTCATTCCGTTTTTGGTTGTCTTCAACTTCTCCAATTTCTCTCTAGGAAGTCCACTAGATGCTATTTCTCTCACAGAATGCATCAAGAGAGATAGAATCTCCTCGGTTATGAACACAATATCTCTGATGGATCGATAAACACGGAGATAGAGAATTCCTGGAGCAACAGGGGAAATCCCGCCACAGATATGGGATCCAAATCCATGGCCCAGAAGAGGTCCAACACCGCCATTGCTTGAGATAGAATTGGTGTTCAAGCCAAGTGTGGCAGTGAAGCAGCTTTTAAGAAGCTGAACCACTGCATCACTGTTGTGAAGAAAGACAGTTCGAGATGCGGAAAAGACAAGGAAGTCAAACCATCGTTTTGCCTTTTGGGTCCAGAGGGAAGCAACAATAGGCATGCAAGGCCACGGACAGCCTGCCGCAAGGGTCTCCAAGGCTGGGCCAGCCAAATTGAGAAATCTTTCTGAGGCTTTATCGATTTTATAGGTAATAGTGAGGCTTACAAAGGCAGCCAAAGGTAGTGGAAGTGTAGCTGGAGAGCTTCCCCCTGCTGGAATACCAAGTATTAGTCATAATATTGAAAAATGGCTTCTCGATTGGTAATGAGAAACCAAATTCCAGCACAAGAGCAACTGCTAATGGTTGTAAAACAAGTCAGACTAAATATATGCACAGAGAGAGAGAGAGAGAGAGAGAGAGGAAGGGAAGGAAGATAAGCCAAAAATATCCACTGAAGTAAGGCAAGATGGTTTTCAACATCCCCTCTTTTCTTGTTCTTGCAAGAGCATGCATACTTCTTAAAAAATGATATTAACTGTATAAGCAGTCTAACTTAAAGTCCACAAAAATACCTGCAGCAAGGCTTGGGATATCAACACCGGTGGTAGCAAGGATTCTCTTGATATGTTCCTCAACATTTAACAAATTTGCAGCTGGGCTGGGCCAATCCATACCATTCATAAAAGCTGGTTTCCAAACACCTCGACTTACTTCAGCTGAGAAGTAGCTCACAATTGTTGCCAAAGATGCAGGAACAAAATCAGCCAAGTCTTTAAGCCCTGAATTATTAAATGATATAGGTTATAGTCGCACATACAAACACGCCTATAGTGAATCATAAAGTTTCTATAATAACTGGCAGCTGCACCGACTAAAACAACAAGTTTTTATTGTTTTGAGTACCCAGGTCAAACAAATAGCTACCATTGGGAAAAAAATAAGACAATCTGTTCGATAGACATCAAGAAATTTTCATCAACATCTTTTGTATTTCCTCTTTTCTTTACAACTTTATCTTTGTTTCCTAGACCAAAAATAACTAAATTGTTTATTTGTCAATAGGAACTTTGAATAGCAGTCTTAAGATTTATCCTGCTAATATGTGTCTGTCTTAAAAGCTAAAAACAAGTAATAAAAGGCAAACCTGTGGCAAGTTCACGTGGAGAAAGTCTTCCATGAGCACATGCTGTTAAAGCAGCATCAACGACAAAAGGAACAGCTTCCAGAATATCCCAGGCGGGCAATTCAGGTCTTAGAGAGTTATCTTCATTTACAACTCCAGATGAACCACTACTTCCAGAGCCAACAGAAGTTAAAGACTGGCTTCCTCTATTGATCTTTCTGAACATCATATGAAGAAGTTCTTCTACAGTCTGATGAACTTGAGATCCATGAATAAGACCAGAGAGAGTTGCAGCTATACACCTTAGATGCTGTCGATACCATACTTTTAATTTTGGAAATGAGTCCACAAATATAGGTTTTGGATATGATGAACTTGCAACTGCCGAGAGTCTCCTTTTGTTTCGATCTTTGTGGATGCTTTCAGCAGACACTAGATGGGAATTTCTTACTGAGAGGAGGTATTCAGGAGTTAGCTGGGAGCCAACTGTTGGCACATCTCCCACCCCATGTTCAATGGGTGGATGATTAAACCTCCATAGCTTTAAAAGAAGAGCAAAAGCATTTGAGAAAACAGCATGAGCAGAGATTTCTTCGCCTGTGGGGAGTGTCCAAGAGACATTGGGCACACATGATCCGAAAACCTCACAAATAGGCGTCAATGAGCATGCAAGTTGAGGAACCTGGAGAGAGAAGAAAGCAAAGCACCAAAAAAGAAACATTTATTCCCATGAAAGTTTCAGCCACTAAATAACATAGGGCAAGTTAGACAAAAATTTGGATCCACGTGTGTTTGTTACATTTGGCTCCACATAACAGCCTGTTATCAAATTTGGTCAGGCACAAAATAATTTTAAAAATTATTGTTGGGACATTCCCTAAAAAGCTTAACTACTCAAAAATATTGATCATGCAGTGAAAGATATGGTAACCATTTTGCTCACTGTCATCTTATTCCTTGAGGATTTTGACCCCTTTTCATTTCTTAAATCTTGCAATTACGCTCCTTTGTCAAAGCTAAGAAGATTCTCAAATCAACAAAATGAAGTCTTATTTTCACCAACTGTGTGGATTAAAAGAAATGCTGTTTGCATCCAGCTTTATTGAGAACCTTAACTCTTGCAACCCAGTTTTAGATTATCATTCTTGCCTTTCCCCTTACCCCTATAGAACCTTTAACTTGAACCATATCACCACCATTGCTGGTGTGTCTATCGGGTCTAACAGTAGAAGATAACTAAGCATTGGATAGGCAACCTATAATGACACAGAAGAATAAAGATACCTCAAAAAGCAATATCTTGTATTTTATACATGTCCATGGATATTAGGGCAGTGAAAGAAACTTACCAGGCCATGTAGAGAGAATATCTGTACACAATCAACAGTGGCAATCCCAACAATTAGTACATTCAGCATCGGAGCATAACCTATCAAATGACTGTAACTCCCATCACAATCAGCAGGGGCTGGAGGAGACAATAATCTAGTAATGAATTGAATGGCGTGTTCCTGCATTAAAAATAGACATGAACATAATCAGAACCTTTACTTAATCAGCAAACAAATTTGAACAAAAGGAAAAAGAAATTGCTTCCCCCTCTCCCTCCCTTCATTTTAATGAAGAACACATGGGTAAAAGTATCAAACAGAACAGAGACAGAATTCAAAATATGTTAGAACTATCACATTACCTGTACATTCCAACCTCGAATTAGTGAGGCTCCACAAAGAATGGTAGCAGCAGATATCTTCTCATCTTCAGATCCTTTGACAGCAATCTCAAAAACTTTCTCGAGCTCTGCTAGGCTTCCATCAAATCCATGAGCTTAAATTCAGTTGCTTTACCCTTGGTAAATTTACAAAAAAGAGCATCTGATATACCTGGCTTCAGGAAAGAAAAAGGAGTAACTGAAGACCAGGCCAAAATCCAAACAACTAGAAGATAATTTAAAAGTTATTTGCATAGAGAGCACCCTTGAGCATTCGCACATTGGAGTAACCATCAATGATGTGTAAGATTAACTGCTGAAGCAATAATCCAATTTATTCTCATAACATTATTGTGGTTTAAATGATTTTGCAAACTGCTATGCCAACCTCCTGGCTAATTATTGCACTGAGAATGTTTTTCCTGCACTTAGAAGTTTGACAACATTCAATGCAGGGTGATCTGGTCAAACAGTCCCATGCTCTCAACCTTTAGGTATTATTAGTCAATCAAATTGAAGAATCCAAAATTTCCACAACTGCCTCATGAAGTTAAATTTGATAAGAGCAACAGTTGGTAGAACCATAGTTTTGTGGGGATAAATTTCCAACAACCTTAAATCTTAAGGCTTGATCATTCATATCAACTCAGGAAAATGGATATAAGTATACCTTGAAGCAGGACTGGAAACTAGAGCTTTAATCATTATAGGTGTGAATGCAGCTCCCTTCATGAATGATGACCAACCAGGCAATTGCGTTGGCACACTATGAGGTATTTGGTCAATGCGTCCAT